ATCATGCTGCTTACAGGACCATGCAACAGCACCACGCAGGACCGTGCCGCTAACAGCTCCATGCTGCTAGCAGGACCGTGCTGCTAACAGGACCACACTGCTAACGGAACCATGCTACTAACAGCACCATGCAGGACCATGCTGCTAACAGAACCACACTGCTAACAGCACCATACAGAACTATGCTGCTAACAGCACCATGCTGCTAGCAGGACCGTGCTGCTAACAGGACCACACTGCTAACAGCACCATACAGAACTATGCCGCTAACAGCACCATGCTGCTAGCAGGACCGTGCTGCTAACAGCATCATTCTGCTTACAGGACCATGCTACAGCACCATGCAGGACCATACTGCTAACAACACCAGGCTATTAGCAGGACCATGCTGCTAGTAGGACCATGCTGACAGTAACAGTGTTTTCGTAACACTATTTTTATTTTAATTGCTTTTTATTGTTGTCAGTCTAAAACAGATTTCTATTAAAAATTAGTCCTCATGACACTGTGAGACTAACCTGTATATCCATCCATCCATTATCTTTACCCGTTTATTCCATTTTGTGTCACGGGGGTCGCTGGTGCCCATGTCCAGCAATCACTGTGCGAGGGGCGGGGGACACCCTGGACGGGTCGCAAGTCCATCACAGGGACACATAGAGACAAACGAGACAAACAACCATTCACTCTCTCAGTCACACCTAGGGGCAATTTAGAGTTACCAATCAGTCTAACATGCATGTTTTTGGTCTGTGGGAGGAAACCGGAGTACCCGGAGAAAACCCACGCATGCACGGAGAGAACGTGCAAACTCCACCCAGAAAGGCCCCTGGACCGGGGTTTGAACCAGGGACCTGCTCGATGAGAGGCAGCAGCTCTACCAGTTGCGCCACCGTGCTGCCTAACCTGTATATATGAAGCTTAAATAAAAAAATATTTTTATTTTTTTGAAAAGCTGATATGTCAGAAGAAGTTCAAAAAGCAGCCGGACTTTGACCCGTTTCTTCTACTCCATCATGATGTTCTCGCATGTCGTTCCAGTGTGGCGACCTCGGCTTCCATCTGTCCCTGGAGCGAGTGATGAAGTGTTACCTGGCCAGCAGGTGGCGAATTCAGAAGACAGAGGAGACGGGCCTGAAGCAGCTGGAGACGGCCGTAACCTCCCTGGACCAGAGCGGAGACAGAGATGCGTTGCTACAGCAGCATGATGCTGCTTTCTGCCTGCCGTTCAGATTTAACTACCACCCGCACGAGGGAGACCAGGTACGTCTATTACACGACAGGAGGAGGTGTTTGACGAGGCTGGAAGGAGACTTTTATTCACAGCAGAGCACTCTTGGATATCCACCATCAATGCTGTGTACCTGCAAACGCAAACTGGTCTGTTGTCCTGGTTAAGTATTTATCATTTTAATATTGTGCGAATAACTCGGCATCCAAAATGTTCCAACTCTTTCAGGAGACGGGTGCCATGACTTTTGGGTTCTGTAACGTTTATGGTTTTCATAATTTAGAAATTTATTAACAAAAATGTCAGATTGAAATATATTGAGCTGTTGTGAATTCCTTCAAAAATATTTTTTATATTTACTTTTGGGTTTTAGCTAATGTACCACATTTAGCTTTTACCTGGCCTTTACTTTTAGCTACACTTCTGCTACTTTAATTTTTAGTTAGCCTTATGCTTCTTTTATCCAGCCACTCTTAGATGACCCTTTGCTATTTTTTTTTAAATCATTGTTGTGCTTTTTAACTTTTAAGCAACCTTTTTCCTGTTTTAGCTAATATTTGACTGTTTCTACCTAGACTTTTCCACATTTAGTTTATAGCTGGCCTTACTTTTAGCTTAGCGTTCTGCTTTTTAGAGCTTCAACAACTCCGTTTCATCTGCTGTATTTAAAACACAATTTCAAAGAAAATGCAAATTTCTCACGTAAAATTTCAATCTGCATTAAAGTAGCGTTGCAAGTTTTTCTACACTTCACATTTATTTATTTTTTACCTTCTCTGTATAAAAACACAAGTTTACTGTTTGTGTCTATGACGTTATTTAAAAGCTCAGTTTGCTTTGATGGGTCAAAATCTCAGGGGTCAAGACAGTCGGTAAGGTTCAGTATAAAAGGTATGAGCAGTCAGTATCTTACCAGCTGTAGATGGTGCTCTGAACAGACTCAGTTTGAAGAAACAATTGTTGGTTTTCACCAGAGTGATGCGCTAACAGCTAATACAAGTAGGGCCAAGAACAAAGTGAATTTTGACTATTTTGAAACAACTTGAATTCAAACTACTTCAATAATAATAATCATAGAAATTCTTAATTTTTGCATTAAACTATTGTTTAAACAGGAATCTAAAGTTTCTCGAAACAGAACGGGTTAAGTGTCTGAAAAACTTTCCTCTGAAAAAGTAAAGAGGTGTAAAAACAAATAGTAAAGCAACGCTAACAGATGCTAACTATATTAGCTATAGCTAATATAATCTTTTGGTGGCAACTAAAACATCCCTTTTTCTTCTTAAGCAGACCCAAAAGCGATTCTGAGAGTTCAGATATTTTCTGCAAGCTGCACTTTCATGTTTGTGTATTTCAGGTGTGCGAGGTGAGTGCGGAGAGCCAGGTGAGGTATGAGCTGGAGACCAGGTTCCAACAGCTTCAGTCTCGACTCGCTTCGGTTATCTTGGAAACGGAGGAGGTCAGCTAACTGTTCTCGATGTTTGTTTGTCTGTCCCTGGGCAGCCATCAAGTTACAACTTCAGAACCTGAACGTGTAATTTTTATTTATTTATTGTTAAAACACAAGAAACAGAAATAACAGCCATTCCTGCTGCCTTTTTCAGATCAGTAAAACACTTAAAGCCACGCTTGCAGCCTTGCTGGAGTCCATGTGCGATAGCGACTGTAACCCCTCCCCCGACGTATCCAGCAGCCTATCACATGAGCCCGCTGGTGGAAGCTCCGCCCCTAAACTTGCACTTGCCAAGCGTCGAGCCAATCAACAAGAGACGGAGATCTACTATTTTACAGTACGTTAGCTCAAATTTAGACTAAAGTTTATATATAAATGCATATATAAATAATCTTACAGAGCAGACATTTTGATTTTGTTTTATTTTAGAAAGTGAAAGAGTTCCTCATCAGCAGCTCTCTGGCCTCCAAACTTCAAGCCAAACATGATCTTCTACAAGAGGCCATACAGAAAGGTACACTTCTGATATGGAAATAAAAAAAAAGTTCAAGGTTCTTTATTGTCTCGCATCACATGTGGTACATGAAGTGGAATGAAATTGTGGACTCAAGGTCCCAGTTACACCCAAAAATATAAAAGAAGCAGTACATAAGGATATAAAATATACACAAAGATATACGCTTAAAGATCTAAGATTTACGCAAAACACTAATATAAAACAATATGGTATATTAAACAACAGCCCGAACGTGAGGCTGTAGCGAGCAGATGGGTATGAATGAATACAGCAGCACGAGATCAGCAGTGCAGAGAAGTCACATATCACCAAAGTGGCATTACAGTGATGAACAGTCGGTGCATTTGTAGTTAGGGACACATTTTCTAAAGAAACAAAGATAATTTATTGATTTTGGAGTTTAATCCTGAAAAACGGTATTTTAACCAGTGATACTGTGCATTCAGCATTGTTTTTTTGATTTTCCTTGCAGCTGAGGCCATCGACAGCGACCCTTCCAGGTAAACAGTTCACTCACCTGAAAATCAAGTCGGTGTGTCTGGAGGAGGCTTAGAGACACGGCGAGAGCAGAGAGGACCAGGACAAACTGAACTAAAGCCCAAATTGTCATTTTTGATACACTTAACTGCTTTACGTGAACATTCAAAGAGACAAATCTTTATAACGATCAAATCGACATTACATTTAACCAGACCTAAGAAAGGATTTTTGGGTTTTATTTATATTTCCCAGAATGCAATGTGCTCGGTCAGTGCGCATTCGGAAGTCCAGGCCCGTTTCCCAGTTCTGCCACACACTCTTCACCTCAGACATACTCTCCTACATACAGGTAACACACACACAGACACACAAACTGCCGTTGTTCACGCCCCTTCTTTGTTTGCTGCTCAACCCTTCAAAGGAAATAATTTAGAAAATCCTGATGCAGAACAGGAGGGGGGGTTCCTGCAGCACATGCACACCCTGACAGTCCCCCCACTACCATCATGTGTACAGTTACAGCTTATTGCTAGCTCCTCTCCTTTCAATCCTCCTTTTGTCTCGTCCCCTCTCGCTTGTGAAAAGGATTTAACGTTTGCTGGCCTCTTTGCTGCCTCGTCTCGACTCCTCTATCGAGTGTGTGTGCGGTTGCGCTTCTTCCCACTTCCCCTAAATCTTTACTCCCCGTATTGTTGCTTTTTTCCTTCTCTTCTAATTTATGCTTTTCTTCCCCCCCCCCTGCTTTGCTGTGCATGTTTTGGTGCAGGAGGAGGAGGAGAATGTCTCGGACACAGGTACCGAACACCGCCCGCGGCTGCTCACCTGCTGCAGAACCATCACCTGATCACATCTTTTATTTATCTATTTGTGCGAACGTCGATTTAACTACAATGCGTTCGTATCTGGTAAAGCTTTTTAACAAAATTTCACAGCCTGTGCAAGTCTGCACGTAAACACCCCTGAGCTGTTTGTAATTCATAAACCATCTAGATAAGAGTTTTTCTTAATCGGTGAGGACGAGATTCTTTTGCAGAAAAAGGAGCTGATCAACATGTTCAGGAGTGAGAGTGCTGTCCTGCGCCGTCAGAGTATCTACTGCCGTACAGAACGCTCGTCCTGCGGCTCTTCTGGTGCCAGGGGTGCATAGGTAGCGTTTAGCTAATCTCGACTCTCCCTCATGAAACCTCCACCACTGGAGAGGGACTTTCAGGTACTTCTTGAGCTCCTCTTCAGCTGTGGTTCTGGTGGACTTAGGGCGAACCGTGACCTGGTTAAATGCGTTTCCAAAGAAATTAACCAGTGCTGATCTTTCTGGAGAAGGACTTTTGTCTTGGCTCCTGGCGACTCGTCTCAGCTGGCCTCTCTTCAACCTGTTAAAAAAAAGACAAATCATATTTTTTTTTTTCTTTTGTAAAACTTGTATTTTTGTATAATATGAGGAAAAAAGTTACCCTTTGAGCTGCAGCTTCATCCATTACTTTCCCATGGATCTCCTGATGTTGCTCTTCGGTGTGAAACGGAAGCGTTTTGAATCTCGGATCCAAGGCAGAAGCAGTCCACAGAAGCGTCTCTGCTCACTCGTGTCTCTCTCTGCCAGACATTCGTCGGACGCCTGGCGTATCATAGACGTCCACCTCCGCGTCAACAAGCAGCTGAGCGTGCAGCGAGGCGATGACGGGCAGAGTTGGTGTGGAGTCCTCTGACATTATGTCGGCGGCGTCTTTTATAGGCTCGAGAGTTATAACTATTTCTCCGGCGTGGGTGATGTCGGTTTCATCGAGAGTGCAAATGTGGTCTGCTTGTCCAGACTTTCTCAGCTGGGGTGAAAGGAGGGCGGCACATATTGCAGGTTGCTGCTCCAGACGTCTTTCAAGCATCTCGTAACTGCTGTTCCATCTTGGGAGTACCAGGTTTGAGCTTGTGCACTGGCATTCCCAAAAGTTTTTGTTTCTCTCCCAGCACATGGCGCTGCAGCATGATCAGTCACAATGACCATATCATTTAGCCTCCATTCCTCTGCGACAGCGTGAAACATGGCATTCAGGTTTCCTGCCGTGTGATTGTCACCCATCACTCGTGTCTGCAAAACACACTTCATCTGTGATGCTGTGCAGTAAATGTGGCAAACGACCCGGTGGCTCTTGAAATCCAGCAGTCACACGTAAGTGCTACTCTATTAGCATTAATTAGAGCTTCTCCCACTTTTTTCTTTGTTTCCTGGTAGAGTTGTGGCACTATCGTGTCTCTAAAACAGTTGCGCGAGGGAATAACGTACCTTGTTTCCAGGGTGTTGACCATAAAGCTAAAGCCCTCGCTTCCGACTGAGCTGTACGGTCGTAAATCCTTTACGATAAATGGGGGCCGAGATGGTGTAGAGGCAGGGCAGCTGGCTTGGGACCCAAAAGTCCCAGGTTCGATCCCCAGTCACTGCACATCACGTGGTGTCTTTGGGCAGCACACCTCATCCCCAAAATGCCCCCCGGGCGCTTTCAATAGCTGCTCACTGCACCACCTGGTGGTGGATGGGTTAAATGCAGAGACTAATTTCGCCATTGTATGGAAACATACAGTGCTGACATTGTGATGACATCATCATGTAGCAGGATGGAGTGGGAGATCCTCACAGCCCTTGGGGAATCAGCTGGAAGTGTGTTGCATTGCTCTAGAGTTCGCTGGTCTGCTGCTTTTGGATGCTTTGCATCTAGTTCAGGGTGATGTCTCGCCAAATGGACCCGCGCATTTGTTCAATTTCCCACATGCGGCAATTTCATTTTGCACATATTGCAAACAATCATGCTCATGTCAATCTGTGTCTTCCCCGGAACATTGCAGAATGCGAAATGTGTCCATACACTGGTTTTTAGCGACGAAGGGACAGGCTGAATCACGGACTCCTCTCAGAGAAAGAAGCTGCTGGCTAACTAGCTAGCTCGCGCTTGCTGTATGGTGGCCTGCAGGGCCATTTTCTACGGTGGCCGAGTAGAAAACGTCATTCGCGTACGCTCGGTACGTAGGAGCGGAAAAAAATTAACTAAAACGCATTTTTAAATCGATACGGACATTTTGAAAAAGCAGGAAAATACTGACTAAAAGCTAAAACAAAGTATTTACTACTCTGCAACTTTTAGATTTTTGTCAATAATTTCCTGCTTTTAGCTTATGAGTCATGATATTTTTATCTAGCCTATTTGTTGTTACTAGAGAAAAGGCTAAGGATAAATAGGCTAGATACAAATTGTTGTTCTTTTAGCTGGTGTTAGCCTTTTGTTAATTTCATCCTTTTGCTGGCATTTTGCTACTTTGAGCTTTTTGTTTCCTTTAGCATTTTTTCATTCAACCTTTATTTAGACAGGTTCATCCCATTGAGCCTCAAGGAATAATTTACAAGAGACCTGAAGCCTTATGTAGCCTTTTATTTATTTTTAAAGTTTAACTAGTATTAAGCTACTTTTAGTTTTTCACTGGCATTTTTCTACTTTAATATTTTTGGACCATTTGTTACTTTTAGCTTTTAATGTGCTTTTTTGTTACTTTTTAGTTAAGCTAGCCTTTTGCTAGTTTTAGCATTTAGATACGTTTAGCTTTTAACTAGCCTTTTGCTAGTTTTAGCATTTAGTTAACCTTTAGATATTTTAGCTTTTAACTAGCCTTTTGCTAATTTTAGCTTCTAGTTCAACTTTAGATACTTTTAGCTTTTAACTAGCCTTTTGCTAGTTTTAGCTTCTAGTTCAACT